TGTTTCATCAGAGACTGAGGAATCATTTTCTAAAGGTTAATATACCCTGCCATAGAGAGGCCTGCATGTCCCTCCCACAGGTGACTCTCCTTAGAATGGGAGTATATTGATTCTGTGCCCTGCTTTGGCTAAAGAACAGTGTGCGGATGCTGTGTGTGTCACTTCTGAGTCAAGTTTGCAGCTTACTATGATCTTTTTCTTTTGCCAAAAGAAAATAAGATTTAAAAAAGAAGTTATCTCTTTATATGACCCTGTGAAGAAGACACAGATCTGAGCTCCAGCTGACCCATTGCAAATACATAACTGAGCAAGAAATATCTTTCCTTGATGTAGTCTTAGATTATGGCAAAATCAACTGTCTCAACAAATGAATTTTGGGTGGGGACTTAACAGTCTATAGAACCAACTTCTGACAAATATAGGTGTGAAGTATGCAGGTGTGAACATCTCACTAATGTGACAGGTAGAAGCACTTATGCAACACACTTCTACTTCACGTATGTGATGTTCTGGGGGGAGGGTTTGGAAATTCACCAGAAACAGTGCATCATGGAGTTTGATCAATTTGAAGCTCAAAGCATTCTGTCTGAGAGCTTGGGCAATGTCAGGAGATGGCCTGGAGACATAGCTGGACTGTCTGGGTATACTACACCTTGTCTCAGGCAAAGAGAGAATAGTGGACTTGAGGGAAATGAACAGCTTCAATGTGTAGCCAAACCAATGACTAAGGCTAGGATGTTAAAATCTAATGATGCGGTCTAGTTTCCCAAGCCTAGTTTCATAGGCTATATCTTGCAAAAATGTGGACTAAATTCTTCTAGAGTAAAATAAAAGCTAATGTCATACACCACATTCCCAGCAGGTTGTATAGACATCAAAAATATCTACAAAATGTAGCGTAGCAGACCTCTCCAGTCTCGCCTGTCACTCCCCTCAGCAGTGTGTTTCAGTAACTCTGCCCATTCTGCTCCCCACTGTGTCTCTGGTGAGTCTTCTCATCTCCACACCTCTGGCCTACATCCTGCTTCTTCTACCCAAAATAATAAAATATATTTAAAAATTAAATATATCTACAAAATGTTTAGAGCTTCAGTGAAGCTGAGAGAAGTTCATGAATGATGGACCCAGAAACAGTGATTAGATAAAAACAGGTTAACTTAACATCAACTCCAGAGAGAGATGAGAGTTGATACAAGCTTACCTTGGACACCCCATCTGAGATGGCCCAGTCTTAGGGGTTGGGCTCTCAGTAGAAGCTAGTGTGGCATTTAGACTCCCCTTAAAATAGCTAAAGAGTTAGTTTGTCATTCAACTGGTAGCAGGTTTTCTTTTTGCCTTACACTTGCCACATGAAAGCTGCCTTTATATGGGTGTCACTAGACTGTCTTTTTATAAATCGCTGCTGCCTCGCCAAGTAGATGCAGGCATCGGCGAGACTGTCTTTTCATAAGGCTCGTAAATCAACAACACGGAACAATTCCCAGCATAGGTTGTCTTTTACGTTTAAAACTGGGAAACAGGCAGCTCTTTCTGCCCATTTGTGTCTGTGCAAGCATCCTTTACTCTTCTTTCCCTTTTATAATAAACCTGTTCTTTTGGATATTAAAAAAGAATTGAAATTGAGAAACATAAACAAAGACTAAAGAGACTATGATGTGGAAAGAAAAAAAAATTGCTAGGAAGTTCAGTGCTGTTTGAGAGGAGGAGGAAAAAGAGAGTGTATGTGTGTGTGTGTGTGAGTGAGAGAGAGAGAGAGAGAGAGAGAGAGAGAGAGAGAGAGAGAGAGAGAGATTTTCCCTCATGCAGACACTGTGAACCTGAAGACACAGTGATGCCTAGAGAACCACAGAGTTTTCCTTCACAGCATGGTAAAGGTTTGCAGTCTGTGACCCCTGGAAAAAAGGTTATCTTTGATATTGCCTCAGGTGTTACTGTTCTCACTGATCTGTCTGAAAACACAGTCAGAGAACGAGAAGGTGGTGACAAAGATGGTGACAAGTGGAAGAATTTCAGGGAGAGGAATATTAAAACTAGTGATCACTTTAACTTATTGAGAACTTTCTTGGTGCTGGATACTTTCTAAAGTTTCCCCTCTAAGAAAACATTCAATCTCCCCCTCCCAGGAAACTATGAGATAGCACTACGGTTGCGATCTTTTAATAGGAGGGGAGCTGGGAGGGAGAGAGCACAGCCTACCCAGGGCTTCAAGATCGCTGTTCCTCTAACATCCAGAATTGAACACAGCCGTCCCCAGGTGGAGAAATGAGCTCCATGCACAAGGCCCGCCTTTCTCTGATGATCAGTGTGGGTCTTCTCAGAAAATGGTCTCAGGTTTGGCAAGGTCCTTGACTTTTCTGTAAAGTGCTATCCCAAATAGGTTCCATGTGGAGTGAAATCTTGAAGAGGATAGACTGTAATATGCTGGGTAGCCCAAATTTCATCTAATAATCATTGGGGGGTGATTCATGACTATATCCAAAGTGTATTATATCATTTATTTGGTACATGACACATGAGAAAATCACTTCCTCTCTTCTTAGCTGACTCATCTGTGAAATAGGGCAATATTAGTACCAGTTTCATAGGGTGTGTTGGTGAAATTACATTTTCTTGGCCTTTAGTAATATCAACAAATACCAGCCATTTTCAAATTTTAGCCTGGGCGTCTATTGTCACATCTTTCACTCTAATGTTCCACACTCCAGGATGGGGATTGTAAAGTTTTAGAGAAAGCCTGCCACAGAGCATCACCAAATACTCTGAAGCCATGAATACAAAGAGAATATACCTCAAAGGACAGTTTAAAGAAAGAAAAAAAAAAAACCTGCTCTTGAACTCTTTGATTCTTTAAAGCTTTTTGAGTCAAACTGGAAATGTCCAGCTCAGAATTTTTTTTCCCCCCAGTAACCAAGGCAATGAGCTAGAAATTAGAAGACTCATCCACCCTTCATGGGCAGAGGGATAAAGGAAATGGATTACCTTTGAATGTATGCTAAGAAAACTAATGCAGATAGCTTCTAAAATCCTGCCCGCACTATTGAGGGACTGAAGGACTTTCCTCAGAGAAGACTACCTTCCCTCCACTTCTCCCTGCTGTGCAAGCAGATATTAGCAGGCATATGGAAGGGGAAGGTTAATTTCAATTATATTCCTTAGGACTCATCCCCTTCCATTTTACCCTTTGAATCAGAAAGAACAGGCGTACTTCACAACCCTCCCGTGCTCATTATGACATAACTTTACTCCACCCGAACACTTTTTTTTTTTTTTTTTTTTTTTTGGTGGGACCCTCGCTGGTGGCCGGAATCGAACTGGTGCTGCAGAGTCTGCGGGCAGCCTCGCAACCCAGCGCTCAACCGCTGCACCACCAGGGGAGGACCCAGGTGTGAAGTGATTAGGCAGCTCTCAATGTCACACACACAAATGATCTCCACGAATATGTTCCCTTCCTATGCTCATTTAACAAAAATTTCTGGAAAATTATGTCTCCCTTTCTTTACCGACACATCACCCAAAGCAGTGATAGTGAAAGCAAAGATAAACAGCTGGAACTACATCAAATTAAAGAGCTTCTGCACAGCAAAAGAGACAATAGCAAAAGTAAAGAGAAACCCCACCAACTGGGAGAACATTTTTGCATACAACACTAATGATAAAGGACTGATCACAAAAATCTGCAAAGAGCTGATGAGACTCAGCAACAACAAAGAAAATAACCCAGTCAAAAAATGGGCAGAAGAGCTAAAAAGAAACTTCTCTGAAGAGGAAATGCAAATGGCCAACAGGCGTATGAAAAAATGTTCAACATCACTTGTCATCAGGGAAATGCAAATCAAAACTACCATGAGATACCATCTCACACCAGTGAGAATGGCACATATTAAAAAAACTAGCAACAACAAATGTTGGCGAGGGTGTGGAGAAAAAGGAACTCTCCTGCATTGTTGGTGGGAGTGCAAACTGGTCCAACCACTGTGGAAAGCTGTGTGGAGATTTCTGGACCTACTAAACATAGAGCTTCCATATGATCCAGCAATTCCACTCCTAGGTCTTTACCCAAAGGACACAGAAACATCCATTCCAAAGAACACCTGCACCCCTATGTTTATAGCAGCACTGTTTACAATAGCTAAGCTTTGGAAACAACCCAAATGCCCAAAAATAGATGACTGGATCAAGGAGATGTGGTCCATATACACCATGGAATATTACTCAGCATTCAAAAAAGATAAACACATGCAATTTGCAGCAACATGGATGGCGCTGGAAGGGATCATGCTCAGCAAAATAAGCCAGAAAGAAAAAGAAAAATACCGGATGGTCTCACTCATAGCAGGAATCTAGAAAACTTAAATAAGGGACCAGGAAAATGAATAACTATAAGAAAGTGAAAATCAAAATCAACAAAAAACTATGAACCAGAGACACTTTTTGGGGGTGGGGGCTGGGAGGGGAGGGATTGGGGTCAGAATGGGGGGTTTGCAATTGTATGGTGGAATATAAAAATAAAATTTATTATTTAAAAAAAATTATGTCTCCCTTGATTGACGATTACACTTTTCTCCCTCAACTGTGAATAATTAAACAGCCTATATTTTGTTTTGGCCACCAGGAAGCTCAATGCAATGCACTGTTGCTGTAATAGTTCAGATATTTGTTTAGGTAAACCCTTCTCCCAAAGTTTTTTCTAATTATCTCTGCCTTTTAATAAGGTCTTTTTTGTAAGACATCCTAAGTCTTTAGGGAAGAAAGTTCTATAGAAACTATTCACTAAAAAGAAAAATAGATATTAATTCCTGAAAATGTATAAACTTAGTAATACAGAAATTTCCCCAGTCCTCACCCTTCCTGGGGTCTCATAGGTAAGAACACCTGAATGCACGGTGGTGATATCACACATACATTAATCCAGAAGGACCCTGTCTGGTATTAAGGATTTTCAAAAAAAGTCATTTGAAAGGGTTTAGATTTTGTGTGCTCTGTCATCTCTCTTCATTTAGCAGGTCTGAAGAGAATCATTTCTGAGAAAATGTGAAAAGGACCCAACATGTGGGGAAAGAGGAATAATGACAGGTCTGGAGACAAGGACGGACAGAAGGAAGGGGTGTTGTCCGCGCTCCCCAGGAGGCTTCGATTCCACCGGAACACACGGAGCAAGATGAAAACGCACACCAAGAGCACACGGGCTTCGCTGCCACCTGCCTTGATAAGCAGCAGGCAGGTGAGGAAGACCCCGAGACGCTGAAAGTAAGACCTCACGCTCCTTTTTCTCCTCAGCTCCTCTTCACATTTTCTTCCCAGCCCCCAGGACGTGAGTAGTTTTCTTTCTCTTGCAACCTCTTGGATTTCTATTTCATTTCAGTCTGATGACATCCACGTTTTTTGTTCTGAGTTGCTGTGTTTTGTTTTGTGACCTCATCGAGCAGAGTTAGGTCTTTGCCTACTTCAGAAGCAGCCTGTGTTTTCCAGCTTCTCCTAGAACACCTGTGACAACCCCCCCCCCCATGGTGCCCAGCCCTGCGCCTGAGCCCAGGATCCTGCCCCAGACTAGGTCACCTGCAAGCGGCAGCGGTGAGCCAAGCATTCCTTCATTTATTAACCTGGAAAGAATAAGTCCCCCGTGTCTCTCGGGGGGAACCCTGGCAGCCCTTTGCTCACTTTCTGGGACATTTCAGGCAGCTCTCCATCGCTGGAAAACACCAGATGGGCTGAATAAAGGCAATTTTGCAGAAAGTGCTGTGAGCCGGGCTTCCTCAGTGGTCTTTCCAGCTGGAAGCAGAGCGGCCAGAAAGTACTCGTGCTCAGCCCAGCTCATTGCCTCAAGAGCTACAGATGGCCGCCCCCAGCACCTGAAGTCTGTGCTGTTTCCTCGATGGAATCTGCTGTGAGCTGCGGAAACTCCTTTGTCTTTCACAGTGCTACCCAGAACCTGGTTTCCTTCTGCCTGAGATTGAGAGCAAGAAGAGGACACAGAAAAAATAAGCCAGAAGGTGGGGGAAATGAATGTTTTCTGTTTAAAACTCCCTGGGTCTGGCCAGCTGCTCAGAGGTGGATCAGGGAATAGTTCTAAGGCTGCTTCCTGGGGGTACAAATAAGCAAGACTTTCAAAATGGTCCACATCTCTTCTTCCAGCAAGACGTGGCATGACCACTTCAAATTAATTGATTGAATAATTTTCAGATATTACTAAGTACAGCAGTTTTGTCTTCTCTCTTGCATTTTTTCTTTTCTTGCTTTTGACTCTTACTCCATTGTTTAATTCTATGAACATCAGCCAGCAGTCAAATTGGCTGGACCGCGGCATCAGCACAAAGAGGCCCTGCACTAAACTATTTCTGCTACTGTTTAATGAGTGTTCCACTTGTTTTCAATTTTAGCTGAGCGCCAGGGGCTGGGGCTGTGGTTAACTGGTAGATGTGGCATGGCCGTGGCTTTGGAAGGACTGCAAATAGCGAGGCAGCTGTCAGAAAGGCAAGCGGAATTGATCTAGCTACCTAAAGGAGACCACCAGTGTTTACTCTGTGTTGAACTGAACTGTGTGGCCTCTGAATTGTCCACTGTTGGTCAAGACCACTCAACTGTTAACTGGTGCTATGGCAATTATGTAGAAAGACTAGATTTTTTTTTTTTTTTCTGATTGGCATAGGATTTGCATTTTTTTCCTCCATCCAAAAATCTATACTCAAGCCCCCTGATCTTCCTTCCCACATTTCATGCTACTTCCTGAGTCAACAAAGTACAGGCAGGCACCAGGCAGGATCTAGCGAGCCAGGGAGGGGCCCTTTCAGGCAAGAGATGATCATTTACCTTCTCCTGCTTAAGTACTGGGGCTGAGGAACAAGAAGGATTGTTGCTGTTCATCTTAACTGCAAGAGCCTGTAAAAGCTGCTGGCTGGTGAAGCCCACAGATGGACCATGGATACAATTCTTCCTTCAGGATGAAGGAGGAGGTTTCAAACTCATTCCTGCCATGGCCCACACAATGCCAGGGGATTCCATTTATGTCACCATATGCCATTCTAGCTGTTGGCCACGTTAAAGAAGAGTGCACGCTAAGGCAGATAACGGGCAGGAGTGAAGGTTCCTGACATGGGAAAAGTCACTGTACAATAAAATGTTTATATTAAAGGGCTTTGAAATTGTCAAAGTACTTTTATGTTTGTTGATTCATTTCCTTTCTGCACAAAACCGCAAGTATGTCAAAGGAATCCTATCTCCAAAATCTCCCGGTTTTCTCTTTAAAGCCCGAAGGTGTTCAGCAACTCAGGACTTCGGCTGCAATTGTCCTCTATTGTGAGGGTGTGTGCAAGAGGCCCTGGCGTGTGCAGACCAGAGCCTCTATAATTTTTGAGTCCGCAAGCTCAGGTGGGCGTATGTATAAAACCAAGTGTGGTAAGCAATGCAATTGTGCAATCCAATTCCTGCTCAATCCACTCAGTGGTGGTGGAGCCAGTCCCTAAACTATCGATGCTTACAATGACAATCTTACAATCATTAATGTGAGGAAACTGATGCACAGTGATAATTTACTGAGTTAGTGAATGATGATGCCATGATTTAAAACCAGTTCTTACTGACTACAAATTATATGTTGTTTTTATAGTACTGCATTTTTACCCAATAATGCACTTTATCACTGATAAAACATGCACACACACTCCATTCCCCTCTCTTTATCACCCCTATCTGAGCTGGGTAATGTTATATATAGATGAGGGAATTGATGCGCAAAATACTTAATTGAGTTTCCTAGATCACAAAGTAGAGTAAGGACTCAACCCAATTCTCCTTTTGCTTCAAATTAATCTTACTAGGTTACAATACTTTCCTAATAAATAATATCAACGAGGGTCTCCCCGGTGGCACAGCAGGTTGAGCACAATGCGGTGAAGCTGTCCGCAGCCTCTGCAGCACGAGTTCGATACCCGGCCGGCCAGGGAGATTCCCACATGGCGCGGCAGACCTCTCCTGACTCGCCCGCTGCTCCCCTCAGCAGTGTATTTCGGTCTGTCTGCCTGTTTTGCTCCCCACTCTGTCTCTGGTGAATCCTGTCACCCTCCCACGCCTCTGGCCTATACCCTAATTCTTGTATAAAAATAAATAAATCTTAAAAAATAATATCAACGGCCCTCATTTCGGGAGCAATTCCTTCCTCCCCTACACTGCTGAAAGCATCTTGTTTGGCTTCTCTCACTGAATCCTCACAACAAATCTAAATGAATTGAGTACCATCGTCACTCAATGTTTCTGGACCAGGGATTTAAGGGATCTTGCTCCATGTGACCAAACTAGTGAGTGACCAACCTGGGCTTCCATCCCTGATACTCTGATTCTGACTTCAAAACACAGACTCCCATCACAATGCTACACTGTTCTCAACCCCCTGCCTTCTCTACACCACCTTCTATCTGTCAATAAAATACCCTCAAAGTGCACAGAACAGGAAATAATGATTCTAGCTGGAAAGATCTCCAGAAGCTGGGGAAAGAAGTGATATTTGAGGAAGGCCAAGAGATTAGGTATCTCAGGAAAGAATGGGCTTACTGACTTGCTCAGAATTTCATAAGTTTTTCAATACAAGTTTTCTTATACTCAGATTCAGTCTTATTTTATAAGAATGTATAATATACACTGATCAAGTTTTCCGATTCTTTCTTCATGCATCTCATTCCCCTTTCCCTGAGCTACAAAGAAAAATGCAGAATTTGGAAGGGCAAGAACTTTAGCTCTCCAAAATTATGTATAAATTTAGAATAGTGTCATTCTCTGGAATTGAATATAAATGGTACATATTTAAATCATGGATTCATGCCCAAATGAACTCATACCCTCTTGCTAACAAATAGAGTTTACATTTGCTGTACAGGTATGTAGAACATAAAACATACCAGTAGATTAATGCAAAAGTGAGAAACGTTCAAGCCAGGGCTCCATTCATGATGTGATAGAAAACGTAACTAAACCTTAATCCTATAGTCAAATTTTAAAAAGCTGTATTTCCATACAATTTTCAAACACATGTAAAACTCTTTTTTTCATATAAAATAAATACTAGTCCATAGTAGTTTTAATTAGCAATCTTGGAGACACTCTGCACCTGTTCCAATTCATCTACAGAGATGAAAACCCTTCACCCTTTTCATTTGCTGACAAGTTAATAGACATGCCAGCACACAGAGCTGTGCAGCTTTCTTGTGACAGGTGAATAATAAAGCTGAACAAGGACATGGCAACTGTACATAGAAAATCCTCTGTGAGTGAGAATTCTTGAGCTGGGATGATAGGGCCCCTATTGTTCTGCAGGCTCACACATGTGTAGCTGATGCATCACTTTGTTTTTGTCAACAGATTAATTGAGGCGTAATTTACATAGTATATAATGCACCCATCGAAAGTGCGATCCAATAATGTTTAGTATAGTTCTAGCCTGGTACAACTGTCATTACAATCTAATAGAAGAACATTTCCATCATCACCCCCCAAAAATGCATTCCTGCCCATTTGCAGCCACTCTCTATTCACTTCCCCCGCCAAGTCCTAAACATCCACTACATTTCTTCATTTTCACTGTATTTTAGCATAGATGATATTGGCTGTTTGCTGCTTTGTGTGCCAGGCTAGTAAATAATTGAATAGCACTTTTAAGCATTGGAGAGTACAATATGTTCTTTGGTGACTGCATGTGTGTATACATCTGTGTTTATGTGTCCATGCCCATAGGCTAAAATGCAAGAAAACATGTGAGAAGAGAATCAGAGGTTAAATGGCAACTTATACTTTCATAGCAAAAGCTGTTTTCAGAGTAGACAGAATGGGTATTTTACTCAGAAAAGAACAAAGACCAGTTACAGAGGATCTTAATTATTTGAAGGTTTTGTATTCACATTTCCCCTACTCACTACAATTGACTTAAACCCCCAGATCAATACTTGCAGTTCAGTCATTTGAGGGCATGCAGGGAGCAGTAAAAATATTGAGTCCTGGGGCCTCCCTGATGGCACAGATGGTTTACTGCAGTGCTGTGAAGCTGTCCACAGCCTCTGCAGTGCTGATTCGATCCCCACCAGCCTCAGAGCAACCCACATGGTGAGCAGACCTCTCCTGTCTCGCCCGCTGCTCCCCTCAGCCGTGTATTTCGTCAGTCTGCCTGTTCTGTTCCCTGCTCTGTCTCTGGTGAATCCTCTCACCCTCTCGCACAGCTG